ACGCACTCTGAGTGGACGCAGACGCCAGGGATTATCTGATGCAGCGTCTAACAATCTAGGGGACGTGAATTCTACTTCACTTAATGAATCTCTAACTGTGCGTACTTGGCGGATGCATATTTGGATAGTAATTACCCTTTAGTATCATTCTTTTTTACGTTGTAAATAGTCCTTTATTAGATGTCACTTTAGCAAACGCATATTTTCGGTAATTCATCATTGACTGTGTGGTTACATTAAAAATGAAAATATGCCCCCTTTACAGGATTTATACGTTATTAGCTTGCGGTTTTTTTGTTTATTTTAGCCTTCTAGCGGACTTTCTGTGGGCAGCCAAAATCTCATTCCTCCAGTATGCCCAGTTGGGATGTTCGGTCCACCAGCCGTTTCGGCCATATCCTGCTTGCCAAATTTCTCACCCAACCACATATCCGTCCATTTTTCCAGTCCACTCACCTGTGTTTCCCCAAACCGTGTTTCCGAGGAATACTTAGAACCCCTCACTTCTTCGCTCCTCGGTGGCCCCCGCCCTTCCTGTGAAGGTCCTCTGCTGCCCCCACATGATTTGACCTCGGACACTGCCGTGTCGATGGCAACTCCTTCTGTGCCATCTGACGGAGAAACGGAAGTTGTTCCTGCTGGAAAGCCTGGTAGCGTTTATGATGTTCCTCCCCAACGTAGCCCTGGTGACCTCTGCCTAGCACTTCCCTCAAGGGAGGCGATTGCAAGTATGGGACCACTAAACACAGCGGAGATTGCTCAACGGACCAAAGAAACACTCCAACGCCACTCTATAAGTCAAAGGGCTTTTGGTCTGCGTGTACTAGGTAATTTATTTGGATGCACTTTTTTTGCCTTGACTCTCGATTCCACGCATTAACGTGTGCAGATTATGCCCATTTTGGCATCTTCGAATGGATTTTTGTTCTTTGTTTGTTCAAACTACTCCAGTAAAGTTTATCCAAGAAAATTCCGCTCGAGTTTGAAGAGCGTTGTTAGTTGTATAAAATGTACGAAGACGAAGGCCGCAAAACAGACTGACAGAGGCCACAACTGCCAATCAGGTTTCACACCATATAACTATTGATTTTTCCGTACGTTTGAGAGTTTAGTTATTCTTTGCACATTTCTTGTTATTCCGAAAACAGTTCATAGAACCTTTTTTTCCATAGCCCAATTTGGTAGTTTGCCCTTCGTAGTCGGACAGGGTCACTAGAAGTAGCGATGTAGTGTTGCATGTACAGTTCTACTGGTATGATGGTCAACACTAGAGAGCAGTCCTCCGACAACCCCTTTTCGATGTCTTATAATGAGAATCACGGCACGGTTAACATTTTATCCTTTACGTCCGAATTTTCGCAATGCAGGCCAACTTCAAGATCACACCAATTGGTATGTTTGTTCACAGAAGGCCAACACTCGTTTAGCATCGGTTTGGCTTTCTTGAAGGGATTTACCGCTCCTGCACTTTTTTAGGTCTTTTTTACGGTTCTTTCCAAATTGTAGGAAAAGCGCTTTAATTTCTTTGCAACTGGGATTCATTTTCCCAACACGTGAAAACCATTTATATTCCACCTTCCCCTTTCTAATAATGTTTCTGACGGTGCCAGCCAGCTAAGTAATTGATTTAATACACATCTGCTTGTTTTCATTAGTTAAGATTAGTGCTCTTTGTATTTTCTGTTGTAGGCCTCTCGCAAGGCAGTGTGTCGGACCTCCTCACCAGGCCAAAACCCTGGAAGACATTGACACACAAGGGCCGTGAGCCCTATATTCGTATGCACATTTTCCTCGAAAACCCTTCTCTCCTGTCAAAAGGTACTTCTGACATTATCTGACTGTGCATTGTTATTGCTTTGACCTGTGCCAATGTGATCGTCAATGCCGAATAATTAAAGTTCTTTAGTCTGATAAATAGACAGTCTTCAATTGTCTGTCGTCAGTAGCGCTTTAAAAACACAGGGCTATCCCCACTTAATCACATATTTTAAGTATATTGGTTCCTTGAAAATACGTCAGGTTTTTATGTTTGTTTCGCATCTACCGCCCCACCCTCTCCAGGTATGTTCGACAGGGCGCCTTGCGAGGTCCATATCGCTCCTTGTGCTAGGAAGTCGTGACAAGACACCCAACCACTTTAAGTTACTTCCTCCAGTTCTGTACTTTTTAATCATAATTTATTAGTTGCCTTTTCCTCACACATGCATCAATTT